GACAGTAGTGTGCTAGATGATAGCAAAACAAAGAGGAGTAAGTTATGGTCTGTGTTCTTGATGAATTCTGGTTGATGGGAGAGTCGGACATTTGATTAGAATGGTGTACTACGGGAGAAGGAAGTTGGAGAGATTGTCATAGGAGCTGATTTCATAGAAGGAGTGATGTCTGAAGTGGATCTTGAAGGATGAATATGAGTTTTCTAGATGAAGGGGAAAGGTATTTCCGGCATGAGGAGTAGCATGTGCAAAGGCATAAAACCTTGAAAAGCTCAATAATCATTTTTAACTACTAAGATGTAGTTCAGAGACATGAAAATGTAGGTCAGCTACTTTAAAAGATATTTTTATTGTGAAATGTTATACACATTCATAAAAGTGAATAAAACATATCAGCTTACTGAATTATTATAAAGCAAATATACATATAAGGATCACTGAGCTCAAAACCTGTAAAATGGCCAGTTATTCCCAAATTGTTACTGTTTCATTCAGTTCCACATGCCAGCCTACTCCTTCCTGGAAAGGTAACCACTATTCTAATAGTTGCTTTAACAAATGGATACACCCTTGTAAACCCACACCTCTATCATCTCTAAAATTCCCTTGTGTCCCACACTCCTTCCCCACCCAGTTTAACTACTTTTTGCTTTGTTTTTGAAAAGGGCGAGAAATCCTTAGAGAATAAAGTTGTGAAGTTGTGGGAGGGCCAGGTGTAATGAGTATTTATTATATACCTGTACTGTGTTCCAGATCCTGCTGGATGCTTTATTAACCAATTTCTCACCATGCTGAAAATAGCATACAGCTGAGAAAACTGAGGCTCAGAAGAGGTTCTTACCTACCTAGAGACACAAAACCCATGATTGATGGAGATAGGACTAACATCTAGATTTTTCTAACCCCAAAGTGTACATTGGTTTTATGCTTTTTGTTAAGATTTGATTTCTTCATGTAAAAAATTGGGAATCAAGAGAGATTTTCAGAGATTTCTTTGAACATAATTCTATTGATAGTATGGAATAATTGAGGGAGGGAAAGAAGGGTAGTAGGGAGACCATGGAAGTGATTATGGCATAAAAGTGATTATGGCAATGGTTCAGAGATGAGGTTTTAGACTAGAAGTTTGATGGTGCATATGGAGAGAGGAAATTATTTTCTCGAACTTTTTGAGGTATAGCCAATTGTTTATGGTGGTAGGTTAGATGTTGGGGATAAGTGAGATGAGAAACCTGTATACAGGTAATTTCCATTACTTTGCATCTGTGCCAGTGCTCTTGTCTTTGACTCTAAGACTTCTGTCTTGAAGGCCTAAATGGATAGGAACACCTTAGGTTAAAATTTGAAAAAGAAAGAACAGTTTGGTAAGAAGTTCAGTTTTGGTCCTGCTAATTTTGAGATGCCTGGAGAAAGTCAGAGGGTCTGTCTTATGGGTAGTTAAGAGTTTAGAGGCTCCAGAGACAGGTCTGACCTGGACATACTATTTTAGTAATAATTAGAATATATGTAACTTGAGGCACAGGACCTGGACTCAGACCTGTATTTAAATCTTGGCTCAGACACTAATTAATACAGACTTATGAACAAACTCCCTTATAACAAGAACATTAAAAAAAAAGAAATTCATGTTATCTGAAATGCATTTGACTGGAAGACTTGTCAAGGATGGTTTGGTGCCCATATGGCAGTGTGGTGCATGCATTGTGTCACCTGGCAAGACCTAAGTGTGCCTTAACACTTGGAATGAAAGATACAAGTTCACTTCAGGGGTTTCCTGGTAGGCAACTTATCTCCAGGGCAGCACCCAAGTACATCCTACTCCTTACTCTCCTTAAAATAAACACCTTAGGGAATGCATTACCTTTTTTCATATTATGTTTCTTGTATGATACTTAAGTGTTAAATTCTATATAGTTGATAACAGATCGACAGTTTAATATTTGATCCCAGACAAGGCGAGTCTTAATCACTGATTTATAGATTTTGAGAGTATATAAAATGGTTTTAAAGCACTTTTTCTAGTGGTTTCTTATGCAGCAATAATAAATGTGTATGTGTATGTGTGTGTATATTTATGGTAGAATTTTCCTGCCTTGAAGATGACAGAATAATTTTAAACCATAAAATGATCTTAGGTTAATCATTAGGATGTACTTCCGAACTTTAAGGATCAAAAGGTTTCCTAAAGCCGTAATAACGTGTCACCTAGGTTGCTGCAGTGTACAATGAAGGGAAGATGTAATTTTTCTGGGATGATTTGTGCAGTGTTTTTAGAAGTAGGATGATAATTCTAGATGATGCCCAAAGTCTAAGCTCTAGAACCCTATGAAATTTCAATTAAATTCTTGTGATTTAACTCCATAAACTTTGACATAGCATTTTAATACCTTTCACAAATGACAGGATCTACTGGCTCATCTTTCACATATAGTGTGATCCAAAACGGTTATGGTATAAAGTAGGTGACATAGTATAGGCAATATAGGGTAATGGCTAAGGTCATGAGTCTCAGAGCCATTCTGCTTGGGTTCAAAAGCTGGCTTAGTTGCCTATCAGCTGTATGTTTCAGGTAACCTTGGGGAGTTATCTAACCTACTTCTGCCTCAGTTTCCCATTCCCTGCAGAATGGATTGAATTGTTAATAGGATTAAATGAGTTATTCTTGAGCTTAAAATGTATTACTCAATACATGTCAGATACTAGTATTGTTATAGAAGGGACTGATCTAAGTATTAGTCCTAGTTCTGTTACTTTGTGACCTTTAGCATATCAGCTAACCTCTCTGGATTTCAGTTTTCTCATTTATAAAGTAAGGTTTACTCAATAATTTCCATGGTTTCATCTTTAAAAATCTGGTTCAGTATTCAATATCTGTTTTACCCACACAGATGTTCAGTCTTATCTATACTTCTAATTTCTCAAAAACTGTTTAAAATTCATTCTATTGGCAAGCAATTTTGGGGACCGTCTAGTACCAACCACTCTAGTATAAAGACTCTTGCATTTACTCAGGAAGCTAACCATTTTTTACTCATATGTGGCCAGCAAACATTTATAATTCACATATCTGAAGCAGTGCCTTTTCACATTTATGGAAACTTACATTTGTATATTCATTTTTTTAACCTGCCTTAAATAAATGTGCTTATAAAAGAAGGAAAAGATCCTTTGGAAATGAATATTTCACTCAAATTTTACCAAAGATCTCCAATGTTAAATAAAAATTACCTGTAACTCCACTGTTAAGGTGTCACATTAAATTTTTTTCGATACGCTTAAACATACCGCATACAATTAAATATTACACAAAATGATTTTTCTTGGCTGCATAACAAATACCATCAAGTGGACATATAATTTTTTACCTTACATGTAGGTTGTGGCATTACATTTTAGTTTAACTCCTCTTGACAATGGGACAGAAAAAAATGATCAACCATACCACGTATGTGACTGGTGTGTAGAATGCACAGTACCTGTAATTCCCTTAAAAAAATGGATTACTTGGACCAACTCTTCCTTTTCCTGTCACCCCTATAACCAAGCCCCTATAAACAAGCCCCCAAGACCTATGTAAATGTTACGTTCAGTATTTTTACAATAACGGGTTTATCAATTAATTACTGGACCTACCACAAACTTTCCTATGAATTTTGTAAACAGAATTCAGTCCCTCGTTTGCTCTTCCAAAATGCACACAGAACCTACCTACCACTGAACTGCTCTTTCAGGACCCCGAAAACGGACAATTCAAGCTACAAAACTGCGGAGATTTTTCAGTGCATCTTTTGGCGGGAGAAGATAAAGCGTAAGGGCTTTTTCTCCCTTAACATTTCCCCACCGACAGTGGACACGTATTTGCTTGTAGAACAAAAACTCCGTCCTGGGAGTTGAGGCGGCGGCTCTCCTGCCCCAAGGGGCGACCGCATGGGTTTGCGGAATTTGACAGACGACCGCGATCTTCGGGGATTTTCCAAGCAGGACGCGGGCACCGCACTGGAGGGAAAGTGCGTTCTGCCCACGTGACCCACCTTCTTCGCCTTCAGGTTCAGAAGCGGGGGTCGCGGCAATCAATTCCGATCCTCCACCAGCTTCTTCCCAAAGACCTGATGAAAACCCCAAAGTGCTGAGAGGCACACTTCGAAAATTCTCGGGTGAAAAAACAAAAACAACAAAAAATCGACCTTTACCGTAAGCGTGCTGACAACCTTTCCGGAATCACCACTACCTACGGCTCACCCATTTGTCGAGCCTCTTCCTACAGCTCATTCCCGTGCTTTTCCAACCCTCCTTGTTTCGGTTCCAACGGAAGGAGAAAAGCAACAGTTTGCCCGTCAGCCCGTCTCCCAGGTACCAACAGCCCGGGGCTTCGACTCTCCGTCGGCCCGCGGGAAGACGCGCGGACGAGTGGCCGGCCCGAGACCCCCGGGTCGCGGCTCCAGCGCCACCGGCCAAGGTTCCCTCCCCTCGCCTGGCCGTGGAGCGTCGCCTCCCCACAGGCCCGGGCGCCCGGCGGGGCGCATGCGCGCGACGCTCCCGGGCGTGCCGGCCACACTCCCCCCACCCACTCCGAGAGCTTGTCACTTCCTGCCCTCGCCCCATCTCCGTCCGGGGTCAGTCAGTCGCTCCCTGTCGCTGCGGGAGAGTCTCTGCTTCCCCCTTCCTACCCGCTCCGCGGCGGTAGCTCAGGCTCTTCGGGGAGGGGGAGACAGAGAAAGAAAGAGACGGACTTAATAAAGTTTCCTGAAACAACAACTACTAGCAAAAGAGGCCCAAGGTGGGGGGAAACCCCCATTCTTCCCCGCCCCTCTCCAAAAGCCTGAGGGACCGTTGCAGGTGGAGCGGTGCTGGGAGGGGGGGGAGCCGGGCTCCGGCGGCAGCCGTTGCCCCGGCGAGGGGCGCCCAGGTCCTGCCCGCTCCGGTTCCGGCTCCTTCGGTGGCGACGGTGGCTTCTGCGGGGCGGTTCCTCCTGTCAACTGCCTGCGCCCGCGCGCCGCCCGCCCGCCCGCCCAGCTCTACAGCGCGGAGGGACGCCGTGAGCCGCCGCCGCCGTCGCCGTCGCCTCTGGTCGCGGAGGGACGTGGTGAGCTGTGGCGCTTCCGCGTCAGCGCCGGCGGGGACTCTTTGGGAGCGCGTCGGGCCCGAACCCCGGTTCCCTTCGCGTGGTCCGCCGAGGCTGCGCCAGGTGGGGCCCGAAGCCGCCTCCCACGCCAGGCTGTCCCCGAGGCTGCCCGGCCTGCCTGCCTTCCTTCCGCCTGCCCGCCGGCCCGCCCTAGGAGTTAAGTAAGTTGGGCGCACTTGGTTACGGGGACGGGGGCTCCACCGCGGACACCCCAACGCACGTGCGGGGCGGGAGGGTGCGGCGTGGGCCGGCCGCCGGCGGGAGCCGCACCTCGACCGGTCCTGTCGCCGCGCCCGCGCCTCCTCGGGCCCCGGCGCCGGCCGTGCCCGCCGCGCTCCGCGCCTCTGTCTCCGCGCGCGCCCGCCCGGGCCGGCGAGGCCGCTGCCGCCCGCGCAGCCGGCCAGGCCCTCGCCTTGCGCTGCGCGCCCAGGCTGCGTTTCCGGGTAGGGTGCTGAACCTGTGCGGGAGGGAGTTGGGGCTGGAGAAGCCTTCGTGCGTTTTTCTCTTCTAGGTTCTAGAAGAAGGTACGGGTACCGTGGAGGGAGAACGGAGGGCGGGTGAAGGGAACGTATGTGGAAAATAGAGCCAGAGCCCCCCCAGGAAGTTCAGGGTGAGTGACGGGTTTGTGCTTCTTTCAACAGCCAAGCCGCAATGAAGAGCTTCTTACAGTGAAAGGAAAGTAGGTCTCGCCCACTGAAAATGCCTTTAAGGGACAAATACTGTCAGACTGACCACCATCATCACGGATGCTGTGAACCAGGTATATTCCTTTCCCCTCCAGTTACTTTGCCTTCCGTCACAGCTACTCTGCCTTGTGTTTCCTTCCAGTTTTCTTTTCCTCCTGCCCCAGAAGTCATGTCTAAGTAAGCAGGCTGTAATTTTCCCCAGTATAAAACTAGTTATGAAGCTAAAAGCTTGTATAAACAAGAGGTCTCTTCTGCCTGATCCCTTAAAAAAAGTACTGCAAGTGTCACCTTAAATCTTTTCCACAAGATCAATCACTCAGTTCCTTTTCCTGCTTTTGAGGCAGGCTGCAGTTAGTAGTATTTGCCCCGTGTCCTTTGAATGTTTAAAACTGAAGACAGAGGAGAAAATAGGTAGCAGAATAGTAGCATGTCTTTGTGAAAGGGGATTCATTTAAACTTTTAAAAATTAAGTTTCGTATGCATATTCACCAGGGTTTAGCGGTTAAAGCCTAAAAGTGAGTGTGGTTGGGCTAAAAAAGTTTGTAATACTCAGCTTGTTGGAAGAATCAGGTTTTGCTGACTGCAACCTTTAAAAAATTTTCTTGCTCAGAATATACTGTATTGTAAAATAAAAAATCTGGTTATTTAGGTAGCGTACATAAGTATTTTTAGGGTAGTTTATTCAGTAGAACTGTTTTTAGTTGGATTTATGGAATGAAAAAGTTTCTTTTTCGAGTCTCTTGAAGAATATTAGACTAATTTGATAAGTGTGGTATGTAAGTTTGAGTTTTCTAGTTACTAGAAGTTTGATATGTTTTGTCCTCTTAGAGGTACAAGTTAAAAGGGAATCATTGAGTACATATGTCACTAAACCAAACAAAGGCTATTCTAGTTTAAAAGCAGGTGTTTATCATTATTTTTGACCTAAAATTTATTAGGACTTTTTATGCTTTTGCTTGTTTTTTTGTTGGAGTATTTTAACTGCTCTAGTGTACTTGGTTCTGTCACAGTGGAGTTCAGGTAGAGGACTTTTTTGACTAATGGAAAAAATGGCAGTGGTAAAGAGGAAGAACTCCCATTTTCAGAAAACTTTGGTACACATGTACTATGGCCCTATCCCCCTCACCCCCACCCCCCTGGCCCGGCTTATTGGAAATCAGTAATAACTTACCTCTGCTAATAATATAGTTCCAGGATGGGATCCAGTTTGTGTTCAACTGCCCCTGACCTTCCTCAGCACCCCTTTATACTGCACATTTTGTGTATTTTATGTGTCATTTATTTTTTATCAAATATTGAATGGAATTTGTTAGTTTTGAAGTAGAAGGCTGTGAATACCTTTTATACTTGTAGTTCACTGATCTTTTATTCCAGTTTTTTTTTTTTGAGTCATGACATTTCAAGTCATTTAAGTTGAATTGGTTAATGAAATCATTTAAAATAAAACCTTTTACTTAGGAAGAAGTTTGTGTTCATTTATTTCTTTATTTCTTTGACACATTATTATTGAGCACCTGTTAGGGCCTAGGCACTGTCCAAGGCGATGTGCATGTAAAGTGGTGAACAAAAGAGATAAGGTCATTTCCTCATAGAACTTTTGAGTGGGGAGAAATAGATACAGACAAGTAATTGAATAATTTGTGACCATACCTTATTTGGTGTATTCTGATAAAGTTTTCTAGAGACTTTAATGTCTTTTTCAGGATGATTTTCAGAGTTGAATTTTTAATATGTATTGGAACTTCTTTGTTTTTTTTTCCCTCCCTCATTAACAAGAAATCTAAGTTGCATGAATTTTAAAAAATGAAATTTCTTTTGCCAGAAACTTTTTGAATGCAGTTTATTTTTCAGACTACCAGGTCATAGTAGTTGTGATTCTTTGCTTTCTTAGCTAGATTAAACACTTTCTGAAGAGTAGTTTGGTGGAAAGCTAGAAGTTTGTTAACTTACAGGATAGTTAATTGTCATTATTTCAGAGGAAGGTAAGTGCTGTGTGGAAGGTTTTTCCAGTACTGAAAGGAATATGTTACGATAGTTTTAAAAAGAGGATGCCTTCAGATGGAGGGAAGAAGATGACATGGTGTTTGAGAAGTTCTTTTAATGGGCAATCATCAGGGATCTAGCCTCTTTTGAATTATGAATAGTGGGGCTGATCCCTGAGCAGTGTGTTCCTGAGGAGGCCTTAATAGGATGGGTCAATGTGTAGTGAAGGGTGGTGATATAAGCCTGTCAGTGTATGTAAAGTACTCTCTTATTTATGTCTTAAGAATGTTTCTTACAGAACTTTTCAGAATTCAAAGGTAGAGAGAATGGTGTAAGGAACCTGTTGTAAGCATCACACAACATATCGATACATGGACAATCTCTTTTTTTTTTCCCTCTATTCTCGCTTCTTCACAGTTCCGTTTTCCACCCTCCCACTGCTTCCCTGCCCTCTATTATTTGTAAGTAAATCCCAGACATCATAAGCAGAAAGTTATTTTAAGGGGCTCTTTTTTAAGGTAGGAGAGACTGTTACAAAAGTAGGTATTTGATTCTGGGAAGTGTGTTCTTGGAAGGATATAAAGACATACGTTAACTTCTGAGGGTTTGGGTGTTTTGATTAGAGGGAGATGATGGCTTTTTTCCTAATGGTTGTGTAAACTGATCTTGGGAGGGATGATAGGATATAGGAGAGGAAACTTTTATAAAATACTAATATATCAAGGTTTTTAGGTTTTTGTTTGTTTGTTTTACAACGTTAACTACACAGATCTGTATGCTAAGTGGATGTTTCCATGGATAACTAAGCTAACTCAGGGGTTATTTTGAATGGTGTTTCAGGATGTTGATGTGTGTAGTGGTAGTAGTGTTCTGAAGGTGATTAGGTAACAAATTTTGCTGTAGTTTTGAAATCAGATGTTCTTTTGTGGAAATGGAAGCTGGTGTATTAAAGTTTTCTGGAGCATTATTTTATTTATTAACTTATTTATTTTTATTAACATATAATGTATTATTAGCTCCAGGGGTACAGGTCTGTGAATTGTCAGGCTTGCACACTTCACAGCACTCACCATAGCACATACCCTCCCCAGTGTCCATAACCCAACCACCCCCCACAACCCTCAGTTTGTTTTGTGAGATTGAGTCTCTTATGGTTTGTCTCCCTCCCAAACCCATCTTGTTTCATTTTTTCCTTCCCTACTCCCCAAACCCCCCACTTTGCTTCTCAGATTCCTCATGTCAGGGAGATCATATGATAATTGTCTTTCTCTGATTGACTTATTTCATGGAGCATTTTTAAATGAGGAAAGGGGACTCTGAGGACAAATTTCTATTTTTTCTCCATATCCCTCCCTTACTCATTACTGTTTTTTAAAAAATTTTCCCTTTCTAAAATTCTTGCTACTTGTAGAGCCAACCCTTGATACTTTTAGTTCTTTATAACTGTATAGTTTCTACCCTCTCTTTTGTAGTTATTATTTTTATTAGTCAGTTGTTTTGTACAAATCATGAAAAGTGATCCATCTAATCCAAATAATGGTATCATCAGTCTATTTATAAACTTCTGTTATTGCATCTTTGAAGGTTGAATTCTACTTTTTAGATTTTGCAAACAGTTTTTCAGTTTTTGATGTCAGAAAGCAATTGATTCATACATGATGATGGCGGCGGTGGTGGTGGTGATAGAACATTTATTGAACACTTACTATATCCCAAGCTCTGTTTTAACTAGTTAACCTACATTAGCTCATTTAATCCTCATAGAACTCTATAATTTAGGTACTTTTATTAACCCCATTTTAGAGATGGGAAAGAGATCAGAGAGTTTAATTTGCTTTAGTTGTATCTAATAAATATTAGAAAAATATTTCAGTGTAGTAAGTCCAGGTCTGTAGTCTTTTGTATTTTTAATCGCTGCAGGTAATGCCAATGTCAGATGTTCTCAAAATGAGTTGTGGGTGTGTGCATGTTCTTAATTCATTTAAAATACTCCTTACATATCTCTTAAAATTGGGAAAGTTGTACTTAATAAAATGACTTGGTCCTGAGATAGTTCCGTCCAACTTGTATACACTGAGGACAAGATTTGAAGCCTTAACGTAGAATCTAAGGCTGTGTCTAAATATATGGCACAGTAGGCTTTAGCCCTTATCAGAAAGCCAAATGCTGCCCAAGACCAGGCCCTGAAGCAGTAGCAGCACACATTATTGCAGTAATCCTCCTTATTTTCCCACAGAGTGGATGATCCTGGGTTAAGAAGGTAATAGTTGAGTAGAACATTATAACATATTGAAAAAAGTTAATTAAAATGGCTGGTTTTTCTCTACCAAAACCATATCTTTAGTATCTGATGGAAAACTGTTTCCCTTTTCAGTTACCTTTTTTTCATATTATCATAATCTAATTTATTATATAATTATACTGTGAATCTGAGAACTTTGGAAAGCAGACATCTGTATATGAAAATGAAAATTTTTATTTTAAAAGTGGAAATAGTATTTTTACTTATAAAAGTGTGTGTGTGTGTGTGTGTGTGTGTGTGTGTTTTTAACCTGCATACTTCTAAAAGCTCAGGCTCTGAAACACTAGCAAAGTGTGAGGCCGAAAATGAAAATCACCCCTGTAAAGTCCACCCTGACAGAACCCTTGTTTTGTTGGTATCTTGCTAGACTTTTTATGCTTATATTAGTGACTATACATAAACACACATATACATTAAATTTCTTTCTGTATCTATTGAAATATATATTAATATAAGTGAGATCATATTCTCTAACCTGTTTTTGTTGCTCAACAATCTATTTTTGACAACTTTTGTTGTTGGTATATGTAGATTTAGCTCATGCTTTCTAAGAGCCGTGAAGGACTCTGTTGTAGGGCTGTTTCATAGTTTATTTAGTCTGGTTCCTATTGAGAGATTTTTAATTTGTTTGAAATTTTTTCTCTATTATTTAGAGGCTGCAGTGAACATTCTTAAACATCTGTCATTGTGCACTTCACTAGTCCTTTCCTTAGGCAGTGGTTTTTGAGTTTTGCTCTCATAATTGCCCAGAGAGCTGTAGTAGATTGTCCAGAGGGTTCTGGAATGGTTTATGAGATGTGGCTAGGACATCGTTGCCCTAGAATTTTGATTAAATACAGAGGCTCCTCTTCAAGGGGAATAAAAAGGCAAACATGACGAATATGTAGTAAATACCAAAATAGTAAATCTTTGCATTTGAAGCCTTAAGTAGCTTTAATTTAGCCTTGAATTGAGAATAATCTTAGTTATTTTTTTCCCATTATTTCATTGTGCCTTACAAAGATGATGGTGAAGTATATACGAACAAGTGTGATTATCATTAACATGATTGTAGCAAACCATTGTTTTTCTTCAATAGTAAATGATTTAAATAACCCTTTTTTTGTGGGGATTGGGGTGGGTGTTTGTCTTCCATGTAGTTTATATCCTGGAACCTGGAGATGCTCCTTTGTTACAGCAACCACTACAGACATCCAAATCTGGTATTCAGCAAATAATTGAGTGCTTTCGATCAGGTATGAATGTTTTAGGATGTATTTTTCAATCTTCACATAATAGTTAAAAACTACCTAGAAATCAAAAATATTAAAATGTGTACATTGGTTTTATAGAATATTTTTAATTGTCAAATTTTTAAAAAGTGGATGAATAAATATTGACTTGCTTTAGATTTTTTTTCAGTACTATATATTATATACTAATATAGAAATAAACTTAGTGTGGTTTAAAGAAATATATGTGGTATCTTTATTGGTAACATGCCTCTTCTCAACAATTTATTGTTAAATTTTTTGGCATATCTTTGTAAACCCTCAATGGACACTAGTAAATTATACTGGGTCTTTATAAGCATTGGCAGAGTAGATTATTTATTCAGAATATCTGAGATGTCACTTGTTCAAGATTAATTACTTTATCATCTCTGTTTATGTGACTCACCTCACCCTGTAGTTTCAACATCTTTGATAGAGCACAAGACAGGAAAAATACTTATTCCAGTCCCTGGTCTCTTTGGATACATTTGTTTAGCTTCACTTTCTATTAGATCATTATAATAATTGGATGTATAAGAAGTATATTTGTACATTTGGAGTCCAGTGCTTTAAAATACGTGTTGCTTACTACATATCCATGGCTGAAAACTGTTAGAACTCCTTTCTCAGTGAGATCATAGGTTGTGGTTCTTATGATCCACTTATCCACCTTTTGTAGATTTAGCTTCTCTGACATCGCAGACTGTTGAGTCAGCAAACACACGTGATTGATGGGACACTTAACTGATGGAAACTTAAGGGTTAGAATATCTTTTGTTATTCTAAAGTTTACTATTCTAATAAAAAATTTCTGAGATTAAAAGGAAAAGATAATTTGTATATAACCAATTGTTTTGTATTGATAAATGCTGTGAGGTGCTTATTTTTAAGTCATTGTAAAGAGAAATAACATATTAGAATCTAAGAAATAGATTGCTACTTAATCTAAAATAAAGATTATTTTTATTTCTGAGTTCCCGAGATCTGTTTCTTGGATTTTTAATCTAATTTTAAATAGATTTTTAATCCATTTTTAATCTATTAATTTTAATCAATTTTTAATCTATAGTCCTCACGGCTTTGCTTTTATGTATATTTAAATCAGTTAAGTATTGAGTGTGTATCCATGCCTCATGTTGAATGGTGGCACAGTCTATTTTGGGTGTCTTTTGTTGTTTTTATTTTTGATAGTTGTCATTCATTAACAGAAGTGACTGATAGGTCAGATTTTCCTATGATAAATACAATTAAAATGTTACTTACTAGGGGTGGTATTTATAATATATTTCTGGTATAACAGAAGAATGGTTAGTTTCTGGTCATAGTAAGAGTTTCTTTTAGCTACTTTTGGTAGGTAATTCTTTTTGTTCTTTCTCAAGGAAATGAAGGTTATAGCTTTTCACATTTTTTATATTCTTTGCTATAGGTTTTTTTTCTTTTCTTTTTCTTTTTTTTTAAGAGAGGTGAGAGAGGGGCTGTGGGGGGGTGGTAGGAGGGGGGTGGAGGAGAGAATCTTAAGCAGGCTCTGCACCCAGTGTGGAGGCGGATGCAGGGCTGGATCTCACAACCCTGAGATCATGGCCTCAGCTGAAATCAAGAGGAGTCAATGCTTAACTGACTGAACCAACCAGCTACCCCATAGGTTTCTTTTTTAAAATCCAAAATTTGAAATGAATAAGATTATTTTATACTTACTTCAATTTATTATAGTGTTATTTGATTAAGAAGTTAGAATTTGTTCATTCATAAATGCTTTGTCTTATAAAATACACCTTTTCAAGAAGATCCTATTCTCAAAATCTATGTTTTACTTTGGAAGATGAATATTTAGAAATGAAATTGTTTTCTTTTTGCATTGTGCTCATGTCTGTTTCCTGTATTTGCTATTTCTTTAGCAGAAGTGTCTGTGAAATGGGTAAAATGTTCTTTTTTAAATGTCCCCTTCTGACCTTTTAAATTCACATTTGCCTTCTGAGTTATGTTTTATTTAGGAAAATTCTGAAAATACTATAAATTTAATTCTGAGTACCCAGTGATTTAAATTAGAAGTGATTTAGAAATATGCTTAGCAATACAAAGAACTAATTTTGGATTTAAAGAAAGGAATTCTTTTACTTTGTTAATGTGTCTCAGAACTAAGCAATTTTAATTTCCTCAAGATTGTAATCTCTTCATCAGTATAATCTAAAGTTTGCTAAGGTAGCTCTTTGGCACTGAAGTATCCAAACCCTGGCTAACTGAAACTTTGGGAGGATAGAACGGAAGTTTGGGCCACATGATTTAGGGACGAAGATCCATTCTTACCCTCTAAGTTCTTCCTGGTCCTATTCTGCTCTCAGCCACACCTTCAGTGACTCATTTCTTTCTAGACTCTTTCCATTGCAGCTGGGTTACAGACACTGCATTTAAAAGAGCTATCCAAAGTCTGTGCTTTTGCTATCACAACGTATGGAGGCTAAGTTGGGTGGGGCATTAGTAATGTGTTAGGATATCTAGCTTAATCTTTAAGCTCAGATAGTTGTCTTCAGCTATTATACCATTTCTAAGTTACTCACCTTCTGTCCACACTTGGCTGTCTGTGACCTGGTATTAATTCCTACCCAGGCTGGAAGTTCATAAAAGGCTGAGGAATGAGTTAACTCATTTTTTTGGTCTGCCAGCCCCACATGTGCTGTACTGACTGCATGATCAGTTTTGACTTGTTTTCTTTGCCTCACACTTTAGTCTTTACTTTGGACTGTTTTTCTGGTTTTAAATGATAAATCTTTCTTGATCTCTGATATCTTTTTATTTCTGGCCACTTCAGTTGTAAATTAATTTGAATAGATTTTTCTTTCTGGAATTAAGTAATATTCCTATATTGGAATAAGTAATATTATTGGATTAAGTCATAAGTGCCCGTGGTTTAAAAATAATAAGGAAGTATAAAAGGATGTATAGAAATACAAAAATAAGTCTCTGCTCAGGCATCCACTGCTACATGATTTATGTGTCTTCTTCTAGAGACCCTGTATACATGTACAAGCGTATATCCCTCACTTTTCCTCCCAGTACTAATGGTAGCTGATTCTGCACACTGTTATGTATTTTTGCTTTATTAACAGTACATTTTGCTGTTGTTTGACATTTGTCCATAGATAGAGACCTCATTTTTTAGAAGGTTGCCTATTTTGCTCCAACCTACAGATTCTACTTTGAAATCCCTGATGGTTTAATGACTTTGAGACATGCTGTTTGCTCTGTATCCCTGGCTTCTGTACTATCTTGACTGGGTCCTGCCTTTTGCTAGAGCGCTGCCTTAGCTCTGTTAGTCCTTCTAGGATCACATCTGTGACTTGATGTCTTCAAATTTATCTTCTTTTTATTGACACTTTAATTTTAGCTTCCTTTCTTCCTGACCTCTCTCCCCAAACTTAAACAGAATTTAAGTAACAACAACAACAAAAAAGGTGTACTTCGATGAAACATTTATTAACATCAATTTAATTGAGCTTAATATTCTTTCTTAGTCTCTCAGTCTTCTGGTAGAGGTAAAGGAGCTATTGAATGCCTTAAGATTAGAAACAGAAAAATGGGGAGAAAAGTGAAGGATAATTATTTAGTCTAATATTCATGGAGAGAAAAGAGAAGGATAATTATTTAGTCTGATATTCAAAACTGGTCTTTCTTATGAAGTCGATATTGTTTTTTTGAATCCTTGAAATATATAACATTATAAAAATATATATAATATAGAAGAAAGATTCTATAAAATACACTACTACTGTGTGCAAGGAAGAGCATCTTTTCTGACTCTTAGGAGTGAATTGTAATGAAAAATGAGAATTCGCTTTGTATGGTATTTGCTATTGTCATTAACATCTTAGGTTTGGTCATTTAACTTCTTAGAAGAGTTTTTTGTTTTATTTTGGTTTTGTACTGTTTATAAAACATTACCGGCATTTAGTGTAAGCTGTTTCTGGATGGTGATGCCTTAGTCCTGACTACAAACAAAAACTGAGGATGGAAGTGTGATTTTTCAGAGATATATAAGATAAGAGAGCATCGTTATTATATAGGTTTTGTTTTTGGTTGTTACATAACAATATTAGGAAATTTAAAATCAGACTAGATATTTTTTGCATGAATAAGACAGATGTAGATTTATTTGTTTGATTTGTTGTTCTTATATTCTTCAAAGAATGTTATCTGAGGCTATGTTCCTAGAGGAGCAGACATTTATATTAGTCTGGGAATTTCTTAAGGGCACAGATCAGATCCTTCACTCTCATGTTTCCAGTAATAACATTGTAAACTCATATTTAGTAGGTGTCCAAAAAATGTTTGTAAGATGAAAATATTAACCAAGTGGCACTAGAATCATTTTGTTCTGCTTATACATTTATTGTAGTATGTAGCACTGTTCCATAATTAACCTAGTAATTTTTTTTAAGATTTTTTAAAAAATTTATTTGACAGAGAGATCACAAGTAGAGAGAGAGAGAGGAGGAAGCAGGCTCCTTGCCTAGCAGAGAGCCTGATGTGGGACTCGATCCCAGAACCTTGAGATCAGGACCTGAGCTGAAGGCAGAGGCTTAACCCACCGAGCCATCCAGGCAGCCCAGCCTAGTAATTTTTTAAGAAAGATTTTATTTATTCATTTGAGAGAGAGAGAGCATGCACAAGCAGGGGGAGAGGCAGAGGGATAGGGAGAAGTAGACTCTCTGCTGAGCAGGGAGCCTGATGTGGGCCTTGATCCTAGGACCCTAAGATCATGACCTGAGCTGAAGGCAGACTCTTAACCATCTAAGCCATCCAGGTGCCCCTAACCTAGTAATTTTTTTTAACCAACTCTTGCAGGTGGTAGTTTTAAGAAATCAATTTAAATTTTCTTAAATTACCCCCCCTTTAAGAACTTTTGTTAAGGGATGATCAGTTAGAAATTTCCTTCATAAACTGGCCTTGGAAATCAGTTTTGACAGGAATTACCACTTTGCTTGCAGTGGGTTTAAATAGTCATGTTAAAAATGATTAAGCTCATGTGTGAATCATAAAGCAAGCAGTATACCATTTAAAAATCATTACTGCTACAACTTAAAATGGTCATTGACCAACATATCCATATATTAAGGAAAAAAATGAAAGCTTATCCTTGGCACAGAAGAGTTAGAATTAATATCTCATCATGTAAAGTGACTGCCCCTCCACCCTAATGTAAAACTGAATACTGATTCCTTTTGAAAAAAAATCTTGTAAATATTTTTCTCAGTACATACAATGTATTTGATGTTAAGGAATAGCATATGACTAAACCCTTGTTGGGGTTTGAGTAATTTTTACTGCGCATCTATTATGAGAATCTGAAATATTCACTAATTAGTTAATTTCTAATCATCAAAAGCCTTAATCTTTGGAGGGCTGTTTTGTTTTTGTTTTTTTTTTGAAAGATACTGATTAATGTAATCAGTAAACAGTGACTTCTAAGATAGTTCTAAGATATAGGGCAAGAAAACGTTACTCATACAGGAAAAGGAATAATTAGGAGTAAGATTGTGCATGGGTCTCTTTCAGGATCAAGGACAGTGGAAGAACTTTATGTTGCTGTCCAGATGACCATGTCTGTTGTCTCAGGTGACAGAAAGTTTTAGCTGTTGACAGAGGCACAGATGATTAGCTGTGTCTAATTGTTAATGAGCAGAGCAGTCAAAAATGGTAGCTAATGAGACCATTATGTCCAAAGCCATTATGACCACATGGGAAAAACATCAAAACCTTAAATGACAGCTAAAACTAACTTAGGGAAAAACTTCTATTGTCTGTATTTATGGAATGGGCAATGTCTTATTTTTCTTATTTGTAAAGTGTGTAAGTTGAATTAGAAAAATCTTTGAGATCTTTTTTTGGCTTCCCAGGCAATTTTATTATACCCTAAAAAAAATCTATAGAGAAGGTTTCCTTAAACATAAAGCTTCTAATATGTCATTTAACAAACCTCAGTCAGGCGTAGTCCTGAGAGGTGGGGATATAGTCGATGAGCATTGAAGGTATCTTCTCCATCCTTTTAGAGCCTCCAGCTTAATGGGACTACAGAAAAATAATTACAAGATATTGGGATAATACAGTACAGATGTATAGGGTGCTGTAGGAATAGGGGTGAAGAATTCGTAACAAAAACCAGGAATCAGAAGGCTTCCTGGGGGAAGTGACTTCTAACCTGGAATTTTGTTTGTTTGTTTTAAGATTTTATTTATTAGAGAGAGAGAGAGAGTGAGCATGAGAGTGGGGAGGGTAGGATGCATGACTCGATCCTGGGGCTTAAACCTGGGGCTTGATTCTGAGGCTTGATTCTGGGGCTAGATCCTGGGTCTTGAACCTGGGTCTTGATTCTGGGACTTGAACCTGGGGCTTAAACCTGGGGCTCGATTCTGGGGCTTGATCCTGGGGCTAGATCCTGGGACTCCAGGGTCCATGACCTGAGCGGAAGGCAGTCACTTAACCAACTGAGCCACCCAGGCTCCCCAGAGTTTGAAGGATTTCTAGAAGTGAGCCAGACCGGGGCAGTGGGAGGAAAAAAAACATAGGTGAAGTCCTGAGAAGGACTTAATATCTCATCATGTAAAGTGAGAGATGATGAGATATTCACCATTTGGTGAACCCATGGCTCTGAAAGAAATTTGATGTACCAGTGTCAACACAACTGTGCTTATGTGTGTGTGTGTAGGTGGGGGTGGGGGAAGGATTTGTGAATGATAATTAAGATTGATGAGTTAAGTATAGGGCCAGAGATTTTGGGGCGGGGGATGCTATTGGAAACAAATATATACTCTGCTGAATATAACTAGTTCTATAACCAGGACTAAACAAGAATACCTATCTATTTCTCTTTAAATTTTTAAAAAATATTTTATTTATTTATTTGACACAGAGAGAGAGATCACAAGTAGGCAGAGAGCGAGAGGGGAAGCAAGCTTCCCGCTGAGCGGAGAGCCCAATGTGGGGCTTGATCCCAGGACCCTGAGATTATGACCAGAGCCGAAGGCAGAGGCTTAACCCACCGAGCCACCCAGGCGCCCCCTCTTTAATTTTTAATTAATTAATTTTTATAGTTGAGCAAACCTGGTGGACAAAGTGAGATCTCTGATTTAGGGATGCAGTCTTGTATTTTTAGCAGTAACGGTTTTTTGTGTATAACCTCATACTTCCTATTTAAATCTTCAATTGGGTTCTTAAACCTAGTTCAGCTTGTTTTTGCATTCCTCTTCAATCTTTTTTGGTCTGTTTTTAAAGGCAGAATTGAATCTTTAGTATGGGTCTAGCAGGTATTTCAATTTGGAATTAAAGTGCACAAAATTTTCTATGTTTTCCTCTTACTGGTGCTACACTTAACTATACTTCTGTAGATAGGTTAGGCTTATCTAAAATATTTTTATCATCAGTCTACCTCTCATAGTTTGTCAGTCACTTAGGTTAACTATGAACTAAACAAAAGCAGTCTTTTGTAAGTATATTTTGTAATGCGAAGTGGACTAAGAAAGTGCATGCATGTGTCTGTTTGTGTGTATGTGTATGTATGTATGATTTTACCTTTTTTTTTTTTAAGATTTTATTTATTTATTTGACAGAGAGAGAGAGATCACAAGTAGGCAGAGAGACAGGCAGGGGGGGGGGGGAAGCAGGCTCCCTGCTGAGCAGAGAGCCCGATGCGGGGCTCTATCCCAGGACCCTGAGATCATGACCTGAGCTGAAGGCAGAGGCTTAACCCACTGAGCCACCCGGGTACCCTGATTTTACCTTTATATTAAGAATAATACTCGGGTTGTCCTCTGAATCTTTTTAAATTTATATTTTCTGATTTTGTGGTAATATGGTTTAGTGCAGTAAACCATTGATTCGGATTTGAGAAATGGTGGAAATGATTTCATTATATTTATTTTTTCCCAGTAGAAACCCAGATGTGTAATTTAATTTTCTGGGATTTTTTTCTTTCATGATTGTCTAAGATAGGTTTGGTTTGGTGTGTTCATTTTAGAAGATGGATAGTATAGTGTGTTTACTCTTTAGTAGTCCCAGAGCTTAACAGAGTGTCAAGTACTTGTGGAATGATAGAAGGACACTTTGCACCTAGATAGTTTTAAAGGTTTTTTTCAGGACACGTTTAATATTGAAGTCAATATTACTAGCATCTTTTTTATTTGAGGCAATTAAAGGCTAATTAATTAGTAAAGCATGGCAGATCAATTTTGTCAATTGACTTGTGGCAAAAACCTGTAGGAAATAATGGCAAATTTAAATTTAAATTTAAAACACAAATTCTATTTGTGTTTTATTCCTGGTGGATGTTCTTATTTTATTTTTTTTATTTTTTTTAAGATTTTATTTATTTGACAGAGAGGGAGAGATCACAAGTAGGCAGAGAGGCAGGCAGAGAGAGAGAGGGGAGGAAGCAGGCTCCCCGCGGAGCAGAGAGCCCGATGCGGATGCGGGGCTCGATCCCAGGACTCTAGGATTATGACCTGAGCTGAAGGCAGAGGCTTTAACCCACTGAGCCACCCAGGCGCCCCTGGATGTTCTTATTTTAAAGATTGGATGCTCATTGCCATTTTTTTTTCCCCTGCCTTTTGGTCTTGTGTCGTAATGCTTAGATTCCCTGTATCAGTGGCATTTCTTCAACTAATTTTAATATTGAGCATTGCCAGAGCTGAATACTTTGTAGTTATAAATAAGACAGGTTTGGTCTTGGCTGCTTTGGAGTTTATAATCTAGTGGGGAAGACAGGCTTTAAATTAGTTTAAACTATCAGTATTTAATTAGTTATACTTGGAGTGAGTTTTTGAGGGAGAAAGGCTTTGAATAAATTTATAGTGGTATCAGGAGGCCTAAGCAAAGTTAAAATTATGGATAAGGACTCTGTACTCTGACACTCAATGACCATAATCCCAGGTTGGCCCAGAACCTGAAGTAATTTGAGCTGAGTTTAAAAAGAAGTCACATGCAGTCTTGTGACAGTTTCGACTTTCTTTAAGGAATCAGGAAAACGTATTACAGAACTCCATGTTCACGTCTTAATGCAGAAGGGAGCAGCAAGAAACTTTGGCAAGGAGTAGGGGGTTGGTGGAGGAGGGGTATGTTTAATTCTTTTCCCTTCCATATCTATTGAATGAGAATCTCTAGAGGGGGTTCATGTACATCATTATTCCCAGGTTATTGTGATCATCAGCCAGATGTTGAAACCACTGTTGGGATATCCTAAGAATTGATTGGCTGCTGAATTAGAAAAAAAATATCAGTTTTAGCTGTCACAATATCCACGTGATATTAGAATTTTACTTAGAATTTAGTTTATAAGTTAGTTCTGAATACAAATGGTGGAAATTGGCAATGCCTGTATTTTGTTTGCAAAGAGTAATTGCACTTTGGATTGTCAACAGTGGTTGCCCAGTTTAAAAATGCACATTAAATTTACCTTTTGTGTTAAGTTTTATTTTCTTTTTCCTTCAGGAACTAAACAACTTAAGCACATTTTATTAAAAGATGTGGACACTATTTTTGAATGTAAATTATGCCGCAGTCTCTTCAGAGGATTACCAAATTTAATTACCCATAAAAAATTCTACTGTCCACCAAGTCTCCAGATGGATGACAGTAAGTATTATTCATATATCCAGTTATGCATTTTACAGCTAAGTGTTCTTATACTGTAGCTATACATTTGTGTTAAAATGGTATCAATAATTTAATGATGGGGAATAAAATTAAATACTTAATGTTCATTTTCTTAGACAAGTACTTTAATATGAGTGTTTTTGTGTTTTTCTTAAAGAGGTTAGTTTTATGAGTATACTTATTTATATCAAGATATTGGATATTGTTTTTGAATGTTTATATGGACCATATAGTTTATATTCAGGATATTTCTAAGTTAAAATATGAGTGCTTGAAGGGAGTATTGGTATTTTTCATTTCTGTTTCTTCAACAACTTGTTACATATGACTGATAATTTACTAAGATTATTCTTAAGTAAATAAGAAGGTTAGAAATAAAGAATGAGTAAATGCATTGATTTCTTGGGGATGGCAAGAAGAGCATTAAAATATAATAACCTTTCTATTTTTTTCTGGGTCTTGATTTGAAGATCAGTTTTGTTCTCAGTGAAACTTATTTATAAATCAATTATTTTATCAGAAATGAGATTGTGTTATAGGCCAAGTTGAGATCTGAAGTAGCTTTATGTGATGAAGGCAGGTTGTAGGCTAATAAAGTCTTTGTGAAACTGAATGTTTGTTGGATTAAATGTATTGCCCATGTATGATTAAGTTAGCAGTGTATGTAATGGTATTATTTTCTTGCTTTAAAGAACTGATATAAATTCCTTAAAATATTTTAATAAGTAATAGGTTATTTTCATTATTTCTTGTTCAGGGGTTTAACTCTTTGTGGTCTTACAAATTATAGAACTTATTTTGTCCATTTGATACTATAGTTGAATTGTGGAGTTCGTGCACTTTTCAACTTAACTTCCTTGGAATGGGAATGAAATGAAAATTCCAAATATCAGAAGTACCACGGAATTACTAGCATGAAACTGATTTAAAGTATATTATAGGACATAATTGATTTAAAGTATATTATAGGACATAGTTGAAATAAGAATTTCATCATTGGAAATTTTTCCTAGTACTAGATCTTATTATAGTCCTAGATCTTATTATACTTGTTTTTATCATTGAGATATAAATGAAAAGGCAGTCTGTAGGGATTAGTTTCAATTCCGATATTTTAATAAATAAAGTGCTAGTAGAAAATTAGTGATATTTGTGATAGTTTTCCTTGTTTTAGTGTAGAGCTGACTTTTAGAAATACAAATAAATCGATTTGTTGGATTATTGTGCACTTTCCTTGGCAATACTCATTCTAGAAGTACTTTGGTGAAAGCGTTATCCTTTTAGACACTATCCATTTTAAATGGGAAGATTTCTAAAAGAGCAATAATGAATTATTTCTTGTTTTCTAAATATCAGATTTGATGCTATATTTGTAGCTAGATTTTAGAGTTGTATGGAAACATAACCAGTGTTAGATAAATCTATTATAGGAGGAATATTTGATTGTCTATAGGGGACATAATTATTGTGCAAGTAAATAAAACTAGCTCTGTTTTTGGAATAAATCTGTAGTTTTTAATCACTTGTTTGAATGGGTTGGTATCCTGCTAAGCCCTGTAATAGCAAAGACTTTTGTACGTGTCATTCATTTTTATATCCTACAAATCCTTCTTTTTCATTTCCATAAGATCTTTAAGGGTTCCTCTCTACAAGTAGACTAGATTATTACGGATTAAGTTAATAAGAATGCTGTTATGTTTTCCAAAAAAAGAATCATTTTTTAATATAATAGTACATTCTTCATGATGTGTTATCCATCTTGGGTTATGAGAACTTTGATTTGCCTTTGCTAGCCTGAAAATTTGAAATACTGTTTTAATTGTTTAGGACATTCATGTGCTTATGTAGTTGGTGTTAAGGGCACTTAGGAGTGGAAGTAGCTCTTCAGATTGCATTTATTCCTTAACATTTGTGTACGTTGATGAGATTTTAAATTAATTTTAGTTTAATTCTAGTTTTAAAATATGTAAAAGTAGATAATGCTCTTTAAAAATAAGCTAGTAATAAATTTTAAGATAGAGATTCATAATACATTTTTAAATATTAGATAGCGAGAGCATGCAGATGATTTCAGATTAAAATGTTGTTTTTTCCTTAACAGACCTTCCTGATGTAAATGATAAACAAAGCCAAGCCATAAATGATCTCCTAGAAGCCATATATCCAAGTGTGGACAAGCGAGAATATATTATTAAGCTAGAACCCATAGAAACTAATCAAAATGCAGTGTTTCAGTATATTTCAAGGACTGATAATCCTACTGAAGTCACAGAGTCAAGCAGTACTCCTGAACAAACTGAAGTTCAAATACAGGAAACCAGCACTGAACAGTCTAAAACAGTACCAGTTGCAGATGTGGAGGTGGAAACTGTAGAGCCCCCGCCTGTTGAGATTGTTGCAGATGAAGTTGCACCTACATCTGATGAGCAACCTCAGGAATCACAGGCTGACTTGGAAACTTCAGACAATTCTGATCTTGGTCACCAGTTGATATGCTGTCTTTGTAGAAAAGAATTCAATTCCAGACGAGGTGTTCGTCGTCACATTCGAAAAGTACACAAGAAAAAGATGGAAGAACTAAAAAAGTACATTGAAACACGAAAGAATCCAAATCAGTCCTCTAAAGGACGCAGTAAGAATGTTCTAGTTCCAATAAGTAGGAGTTGTCCAGTATGTTGTAAATCATTTGCTACAAAAGCTAATGTAAGGAGGCATTTTGATGAAGTTCATAGAGGACTAAGGAGGGATTCAATTACTCCTGATATAGCAACAAAGCCTGGGCAACCTTTGTTCCTGGATTCTGTTTCTCCTAAAAAATCTTTTAAGACTCGAAAACAAAAGTCGTCTTCAAAGGCTGAATACAATTTAACTGCATGCAAATGCCTCCTTTGCAAGAGGAAATATAGTTCACAAATAATGCTTAAAAGACATATGCAAATTGTCCACAAGATAACTCTTTCTGGAACAAACTCTAAAAGAGAGAAAGGCCCTAATAATACTGCCAGCAGTTCAGAAATAAAAGTTAAAGTTGAACCAGCAGATTCTGTAGAATCTTCACCCCCTTCCATCACCCATTCTCCACAGAATGAATTAAAGGGAACAAATCATTCAAATGAAAAAAAGAACACACCGGCAGCACAGAAAAATAAAGTTAAACAAGACTCTGAAAGCCCTAAATCAACTAGTCCGTCTGCTGCAGGTGGCCAGCAAAAAACCAGGAAACCAAAACTTTCAGCTGGCTTTGACTTTAAGCAACTTTACTGTAAACTTTGTAAACGTCAGTTTACTTCCAAACAGAACTTGACTAAACACATTGAGTTGCACACAGATGGGAATAACATTTATGTTAAATTCTACAAGTGTCCTCTTTGCACTTATGAAACTCGTCGGAAGCGTGATGTGATACGACATATAACTGTGGTTCATAAAAAGTCATCCCGCTACCTTGGGAAAATAACTGCCAGTTTAGAGATCAGAGCTATAAAGAAGCCCATTGATTTTGTTCTAAATAAAGTGGCAAAAAGAGGCCCTTCGAGGGATGAGGCAAAACATAGTGATTCAAAACATGATGGCACTTCTAACTCTCCTAGTAAAAAGTATGAAGTAGCTGACGTTGGTATTGAAGTAAAAGTCACAAAAAACTTTTCTCTTCACAGATGCAATAAATGTGGAAAGGCATTTGCCAAAAAGACTTATCTTGAACATCATAAGAAAACTCATAAGGCAAATGCTTCCAATTCACCTGAAGGAAACAAAACCAAAGGCCGAAGTACAAGATCTAAGGCTCTTGTCTGGTGAGGAACTGTTACAGAGTTTTGCTTTTTTCCCCCATCGAACTAAAAAAAATCATTTGACCATAATTTATAGCTGGTTCCATTTTAACACGTTTGCTTCCATATATCTTATGGCAATGGGAACTGCAAGAGTAATGTGCATATTGCATTTACCTCTTCAGTGACCTTTATTCCAGTGGCTTGGGAACAAAAGTTAACTTCAGAACTTATCTTCCACAGGACAATGCAATATAGTGGTAGGTAGATGGCACAGGGTCAGTGCTTTCCTCTCAATGTTGTAAAATATATACATTTATATTGGCTTATGTTTACAATAGAACTCTTCTGTTTAACTAACTTTGCACAGGTTTAATTTGATTTAGTGACCTAGTCTACTAATTAATACATTGTAGGAAAAGTTAAATATATTAAAATGAATTTGTGAAGGCGATAATTATAGGAAAAAAGTCTTTTGAGGCACTGTAATTATTGTAAAAATTAATCTGTGATGGCGAAATAAAGTCCTGCACTCAGAAAAAAAAAATCCCCAAATTGAATTTAGAACAATTAGCATTTATTATTTACATTTAACCTAGTGCTTCCAGTCAACGGGGAAAACTTGATAGACAAAAGTTTGGATTTTTTTTTTCCTTCTCTTTGGAAGTATGCGCTAGTTACTGTTTTTAGTTTTGATCTGTGGAAAAAATGATTATATAGGTTCCAAATCTTAACTTTTCCCTTTTTGTTTTAAATAGACTTTTTGTGATCATTTCAACATAGTTAATATTATTAAACAGGTTTTTTTGTTTTGGTTTGGTTTGGTTTGGTTTGGTTTTTTGTGGTTGTGCGTTGTAAGAAAAGGAGAATCCCTATTGGGAAGAAAGAAAAAAATTTAATTTTTTAGAAGGTTTTGAAATAAATGTAGATTTTTAAAATGCAATATAAAATAAGGAGTAGACTCCCTATACTTGTTTTTGCAAGTCTCTCTATATTTTTAAAAGTTTACCTTCAGTACCTGTTCCCTGTATTAAGGCATTTAATATATTTAATTAGTACTAAGTTAGTTTTGGATTCAGGTTTTAAAGCAGTATACTTAGTTTGAGTGCTGAGTAGGTTAAATGTTGTGGTTTGAGTATCACACATTTTTTTATTTGTGTGGAAGCTTGAGATGAAACCATCATTTAGAAGTCATTTACTATTGTATAATTTTAAAAACAAGGTTTTATTGGTAAACTCAAAAGTGTTCATTTATTCCCATTTCTCCTCAGATAACTTCAAGTGATGTACGAAAAGGTTTGGAGTTCATTTTTGTGGAAAGACTTTAAATTGGTGTTAGAACCACTAAACGTCTTCAAATGGTACTATGAGAAAAAAAGGAAAAACAAATTCATAAATATTCAACTGTAACTGCTGTTTTCTGACTAAAATAATAACCATCTAACCACTCGTTTCTAAGGCACTGCCTCTCCCAGCACTTCCAAGTAGCTGTGACGTTACATATTGTCATCACAGTCCATCAGCTAACCACCCTTGACCTTGTGAATTTGGTCTACAGTTTCTACAAAAACATTTCAAAGTTTGTTTTCCAAACAATTTGTTGATTAAAGTGATCAACAACTTGAAGAATATATATCACCACTGGTGATTTTTAATTGACAAAGGACTATATCTTAGTGATTTTAGTTTTGTTTCACTTTATGTGGCAAAATTTTATCTGGATTGTACAGATATATTTCCTAGTGAGTATATGTTAGGACCAAAAGAGAAATTAGTATCAACAAATTATAAATATTTAGTCTACTACATATTTGTAATAATTCTACGTTCATTTATTTCTAACTTGTTCTCTAGCACTTAAATGTTTGAACGTTTCATTCTAAAATATATAATACAGGAAAGTTCCAGTTCATTTTCATCCATGGGTCATACATTTTTTATTTGTAAACATCTGAGGTTTTTATGAAAATTAAACATTCCCCCCTTTTCTTTACATTTTATACAAAGCACTTTAATAATAGATGCAACTTAATTTTTCAGTTTCTTCTTTTTTTTTAAAGACCACACATTTACTAATGTTAATATGAAGGTAGTAAATAGCTTACTGATATTTTATGGATGCAGACAATCCATGCACAACCACTTCTTATGATATTAGTTTATTTCTTTAAATATTGCTAAAAAAGGATGATGGGAGCATAAACCCTGAATTTTCTCCCAAGTAAAATCTTAAATGACTACTTTAGATGCTATTTGATTCTTACTGTAAAATTTGGAAAATAATGAATTCTTGTCCATTTTTGTAATCAAGATTTTAGGAAAAACAAGTACATCTATCTTTATGAAATATTGGGCAGGTTTTTGTGTATCAATATTTTGTAATTTTTAGGAAATATTTTATTTTTTAGTAATTTTTGTCAGATTATAATTTTAAAAGGTACAGCAGAGAATATACCATGTTTTTATATAGGTTCACACCTGTACTTAGGAGGGACCCTGTCCATCTATATACTTTTTGTATAAAATTTTAAAATGTTGAAGATCCACAAGGTCATAATAAAATGCTTCTATAGCTAGAAAAACATTTACCCTTCCCAGTGCTTTGCACTAAAATATACTGTGAAAGGAAACTAGAAAGACTGTAACTGTTGCTGGAAATGTTCTATATTGAATGTACATGCTCTTGTTGGAAAAATGTACTATATGTGATGGAAATAAACCAGACTCAAAGTTATTTCAGCTAAATGTGCTTCAACAAAGGTGCATTGGTTGAACCTTAAATGTTTTATCAAATTTAAGTTTATTCAGTTACTATGAGCAGCTACACTTGAATTATACCCTGATAGTTTTATTTTTAAGAATTAGAGTGATAATTTCTCTTTAATTTAAAAACAGATTGACTTTTCCACTTATGGAAAACTTGTACTTATAGATCTAACTTTAATGATTAATAGCATAATATATTTAGGGAACTAAATGTGTAGGTGGTATTTCATTTATAAACCATCTTCATTAGTTGCACATTATTAAATCTGTATGTTTGACTTTTGCAAGGTGTTATCTTTTATGCATTCTTACACACGACATATTCCAAAGATATTTTCCAGACTTAAGTACCTACAACCAGTGAAAAGATACGAGTATTCCTAAAAAGCTGGAGTGGCTCTTTGCTATAGCCTCTCATCTACATATCAGCCTCTTTATCTCTATTTTACTTTTTAAATACTGTAGGGAAGAAAGAAAAATAGCTTGATGTGGGTGGAGGGGAGCCCAATTGCTGGAATTCCTTACTGCAGCTCACCTATTTCCATAATACCATTCACATTTTGTCTCCTCTGTCATAACTCTAGGGCCACAGTGTAGGAATTTAGAAGGAGGAATTGAGGATTCCAAGGACTGTCAAAAGGTTTCATCTGGGTCATAGAAGAAAAAATAGCACTATGTTAGGAGGTGTCTGTCTAAATTAGAATTGCCTAGAGAGAGTAGGAATATTTTATTACAGTAGACAAATCAGTGGCTAATGGCAGATAGGCATTAGAGGCTAAATCAGGACAAGTTTAAAAAGGTAGAATGAACAGGTAAGAAGTTATTAGAAATTCTTTGTTCTTCCTATTTCTTTCTGGTCTTCATCCTTACTTTTTGGTTTTATTTTGACTTGTGAGCTCTGTCTTCTCAGAGGGCTCAGGCCTGAGGCCCTTAAGGAGAACAGTCTTAAGAAATTTGTGCCAGAAGCTTTTCTGCATACAGGCTATATGAGCAAATATTTATAGCACTTTTTGTTGTGGGGACAAGTAGTTAAGGAGGTAAAGAGCCATCAAAACCTGCTTATTTTATATTAAAACCTTCTGGCTACAAATTATATCTACTTTTGCTGTTCTTTGATCAGTTAAGAGTTTTCCTACAGAATTCAACCCCTCCTGTTTCCTGAGATACCTTCCACATCTAACTGCAGTGGAGGAGGAGAAACAATAAAAAGTATGGCTTGCATTTCAACTTCCTAATTTTGGATAGTGCAAGTGAGAGCTGGAGGAGGTATGGCTGACACGTGGCAGGTGTTCATTAGAACATACAGATAGACCTTGAATGCATAATAATTGCTTTTTGTTGTTGTTTTGCTCATGTCTCTCTCCCCCCCCCCTCCTTCTTCCCTACTTCAGGAAGAAAACCTTGTTCTTGAAGAATACATGTATTTTTGCAGAATATATATGTTACACATCCTTAATTTTTGGCTTACTTATGTAGATATGAGCTAAGTTTTTGGTTAACAGATTGCTTGTATTATTGAAAAGTACCTTTTTTTTTAGGAATAAGGAATATTGCTTGATGATCTATAGGCTGTTCTACTCAGTTTGCTTTAAAGAGCCTATGGATTCAGTAGCAGAGAATTATGTGGTTTTGCTATTGTTTTAGACTGTGGGTATGAATGGAGGTTTCTCAGTAGGTGTTTTGGCAAGAAGATATGGAGATAGAGAGGCATGAGTGTGTATCATTTCCTGTTGTGAAGTTGCAAAAGATTTTTCATATAGCATGACCACTGGATAAAAATGTTTATTAAACTTTAGATTTCCAGGAAATATTTCCTGGAAATACCCTAGATCCTTACTTAGGAGTTTTATAAGCTACATTTTTTATGGAATCAGGTTACCAGGATTATGATTTAGCTGTGGATCTCTTAGTTGATCAGAAGCCGAGCTCTAAGATGTGCAGTATGATGTTGGCTGTTCTGTTAGACAAAATCCCTCTGTACCCTGTGCTATTTTTTCTTTCTTTTGTGACTTTAAAAGCTAACAGAAACCTCAGGATTGGAAAGGAGTAAGGATCAGCAATCTTAAGAATGGCTGTTACTTGTTTGGTTTCTAAGGCATTAGACACATGATAGAATCCTGAATAAAACATGTTTCACTTAAACTCACCTGCAGTTATTTTGGCTTTTCTAACTTTGAAACTCATTCCTTCTCTCTCTTAGAATTTGTTTCTGTACCATTTTACTCTGAGTTCTCTTGAATTTCTGGCTCTTTCCTTTTTTCTCTTCTGGTTGATTAACAGAGATCCTTAGTATAGTACCAAGATAGCCAAAATGTTTTTTAAGAAGGTAAGAGGGTAGAAAGTCAGCTTATTTCTTCCTGAATCTTCATCTGCTGGTTGGGTTTATTATTTCTTTTTGAATTGCTGCTTCTGCATGTATTCTCTACCACCACACCACAGACAGAGGGGAAACTTGATGATGACCATAGTTGTGTCTGGTTGGGAAAATGCCCACAGTTGGAGGTTTTGCTGTTTGTGTCCATTCAGCAGAGTTAATTTGCTTGATTGTATGTTTTTGAAGTCAGGGACTGTGTCTTGGTAATTTTGTTTAGTGCCTAGCACATTTTCATGTATACCCAGGCACTTTAAATAAAAACTTGATAATGATATTAAAGTAAGTGATAGTCTTTTCCATCTTAAAATTGTGCTGTCATTTACTGTGAGATTTTGGGTCTTCATTTCATAAACTTTCATTACCTCCATGTTGACTTTACTTATTTTAGAAAATGCTACCAGTACTAAAGTGAGTATTTGTAATAATGAACAGAACTGTTAGTAGTAGATAGTGATAATGAACATTCATGGAGTGCTTACTGCATGCCAAGCACTCTACCAATCCTTTCCATCCAAAATGCCCCTCATCTACCAAGAAGATCCACCAGTAAAATCCACCAGTAAGAACTGTTACTTCATTATTTCCATTTTATAGAATAGGAAGTTGAAGCTTAGAGTTCAGTGATTTACTTAGGTTCACATAGCTAGTAAATTACAGAATTGAGACTTGACACTAGATCTGAGTACAAAGCATGTGCTCTTAATCTGTGCATGTTACATTTATTTGCACATTGTACCATTTGCAAAGCAAGTTTGCTACATTACCTTATTGGCAGTTTAGTGTAATGATCTGGAGCTAGATTAGTTGGTGAAATTTATGGATCCACATGTTATTTCGTGTGTGACTTTGTACAAGTTACTTAAAACATTCTCTGCCCTAGTTATCTCACCAATGAAATGGGGATAATAGTTCTGAGGATAAAATGAAAAGTACATGTAAAATATTTAGAATAGTGTTTGGCATGTTACAATAAATGTTAGCTATGGTTACTGTAAGTGATTTTCATGGCATTTTAAAGTATGTAATTTTTTTATTACCACTCTAAGTTTAAATCGAAAGGGTGCTTTAGAAGAGAGAACTTTATTGCTGCATGTCAGATTTTAACTGCTGCTTTGTATTTAATTGGGATAATGAAGACACTTAACTGTATTACTGTTTGCTGTTGATTTTCTGATCAGATCTTACTAGTTTACCATTCTTACTCAGATTTTTCATTTGTCTTGAAAAAGATAGCAGGTGGTTGTAAGCACATTCATTTTAAGTTAGGCTTTATTTTTATGTTACTCCCCAGAATAACCCCTCTGTCTTAAAATTCTCATTAGTATCTGCCCTATCACAAATACTTTATTTTTGGTCGTGTGCAGAATATTGACATGGAACAAATTTTAACTGAGTAACACAGCTGAAATGTTTCTAGAAAACAAAGATATATGTGCAGTACTATTTGAAAGAAAGCTTCAATTATGGAGCTAGTGGATTCTTCAGGAAAGCACGATTTGGTCCAGGTCAGGAATTTCGTTGGTAAATGTGTCATGAAGAGATAAGAAGAAATGGTACTTTTTCAAGAGTCTTGCCCCTGGTAGTCATTAGAGGCAGTACTTAAAATTTCAAGTAAGGCCCAAGTACTGTTAGATTATCTGCTGAGAGGGTTTACCCACACACCTGCCTGTTCTCGATTTTGCTTTTTTAACGATAAGATAATAAAAATTTTAGTATTTAGGGACTTGTATAATTAGCAACATCAGAGAACCTTTGTCCATAAGTTTGGATGAACCTTCATACTCTGAACTTCAGATCAAGTGCTGGGGTTCCATCACCTGTGTTGTGTGGCTTTGTAGTGATTTTGATACTCAAATACTTGTGTCAGGTGCTGGGAGCATATTCCTGTCACACAAACACTATAATGTTTTAAGGAATAGAATGATATGCCTGAAAAAATAGCCAAACCAAAATTAAAAAAAGAAAAAAAACCCTCACCCTGAATGCTTGAGCAATAATAACTTGCACCCTATCTGTGTGTCCTGCTTTATATAATCTATCTAGGTGTCCCTGCTTTATATAATCTCATAACACTTTCAATAGGAGAGTGTGTAATGATGTTATATCGAGAGGAAAAGTTATTACACCAAAATGAACCCCAAGTGCATGAAACTGTTATTACAACTCAGGTTTTGAATATTGGTTTTTAATCTCTTCTATCTGTGGGATTAGCTCTGAGAAATAGAACTGTGGCTTTTAGTGAGCTTTTCTTTCTAAGCTGTGCAAAAGTATTTTTTAAAGAAGCTGAGATTCTTGCATAGATTGGTGCTTTGGTAGATCTGAACCCTAAAATATCTGTTAGTTGTGACTGGTAGCTTTTATTTTGGAGAGAAAGGAAAAGCAAGGAATACTTTTCTAAGAAAAACATAGTGAAGACTAGGAAAATACTGTGTGCGTAAATGTGATTGAATTATATGAAAAAAATTATACTTTTAGGGAAAGGATTTTTATGTAGTTTTCTTGAATTTTTGACATAGAAGTTTTGACATATAAGCTTCTCTAGGAGAGTGGCTTTGTCATTTTCAAGCCTTTTGATCATTAGATATTTTTGGAATTCCTTGGAATTCAAGGTGTTGGGCATTTGTAGATGGTTGAGACTTTTCTGAGCTTCATTCTCTGTTTGAATGGACAGGCTACGAGGTGTTAAGATAGGCTAATGGGACTATCATAAAGATAGGCAAGAACACAGTTTATGAGTAATTTTCAGTCTGTCCTCAAGTTAAACTTTTTTCAAAGCATTTTCTTGGTTTTTCAATTTTTCCTTTCTTTGCTTGGCCATCTTGAGTAGTATTGTTTTCTTGTAATCCAAGAGAACAAAATCACTTCTTTGCCATAAAATTCAGACACAAACAGATTATTGCCTGCACAAGAGGA